CCCCAAGAGAACATGAGGGGCAATAACCTCAGTACAATTTAGGAAGCCCAGGAGTACAGATCTCTGAATAACCCCTGAGCTGCAGATCACTGTAATCTAACCACACAGCAGATGGGTAAGAACAACATTTTCTTGAGAACTGCCCAGAGAGAAAACCTACCAAGCCAACTCAGAGCAGCAGTGAGCGGGTAAGCTCTGAGATGGTAACTGCTGTTTCAACATTGCAACCTCAGCTCAAACTTGTATCATCCTAATATTTTATCACCTTTGCTTTCCATGTCTAGTTAAACTCACTGTTTATTCCCTTCCAACACTGCTAGCCTGCCAAGCTTCAATGCTGTTTCCTACTGAGGGAATTAATCTAGCAAAAGCTTCTGCAGCATTAATGGCTCAATCTTCTCTACTAATGTTGCCATTGTGTTCCTCTGACCCAGCCAAAACTAATGACAAACTGGAACTGCCTACTAGTACTAATGATCTTTTGAGAAGGGAGCTCTCAACCTTTTACTAATTTTTGCTGAAATTAGCATGAAATTACATTTCACACAAAACAGGTGTCAGAAGGGGTTCCATGGGGATTTTTCAATTGACCTCAAATCCCAGAATTCCTAATAAACATCTCTTAAGCATCCTAATAAACCACTGTGCCAAAGGACTGCACAGAACCTTATAAAGTAGACAGTTTAACGGGATATGTGTCCTGAAACCAAACTAAACCAAGAAATAAAGGAGAGGTATAGGACTGCAAGAAATCTCATGGGAAGCATCTTTAACCAGAGTCAATACAGTGTGTGGATGCATTTCTGCAGACAACTCTACATAACATATCATGAAAGACCTGAGCCTTTTGTGTGTCCATTTAGGTGGTCACTTTGAGTAGTAAAACCCAAATACCTTTGCAATACATCCACAAAGAGCCCTGGACTCTTAAATGAATGCTGGCACTGGTGTGTCTCAGTCCTGCAGTGTGAAGTTACTTAATACATTTTTATAAAACCAAGCACAGAGACAATATGATCTTTACTTTTTATCTTACCAAAATTGAACTCTCTCACTTTTCTTCTCCCAGTATTGGCAGCTTCATTAGCTGACTCAATGCTCTTTGGTCTCTTGTTAGGGGGCAAGTAGTCATCATCATCTTAAAGAAACATAAATATCACTGGTTTAATGCCCAGAGAACACATGTGCAATGCCGGAACTGCTCTGAACTTCAAAGCTCATATGCAAGTATCGAATTGTGCTTATCAGGGCATCAAATTTAGCAACACTTACTTACCTGAGTAGCTTCAGAAAGCTCCTGTTCCACCTGTCTTCCTACCTGTCTAAGTCCAACATGCCTCAGTATATTGTGGTCTTATAAAAGTTCTGGTATGTTTACCAAGCAGTGCACAATCCAAACTGCTGCCAACACTAGCACACAATTCTGTTTATTCAGTGCCAAGTAATGCAGGCATTGGAAAACATTTTTTGGATATGAAAATGCTCAGTGGACTGAAATCAAGGAACTGGTGAACTGACCTTCTATGGTGACCTCGACTTCAGGATCCTCACTTGTTTCTGACGGCGTGTGCTGAGAGGAATCTGAAGGGGAAGAACAGGGCTGCTGCATGATGGACACATGATTTTGTATTTAAACTAACATTTGTCAAAGAAGCTCCTTGCACTCACAGCATGCAACAAAAACAGAAGCAAAAATATTTTACAATAAACCTTTAAGCAATTCCAGACGAGGTGGGGATTACACTTGCTAAACTGTGTGTGCAGCAGTGCATCAGAGTTGGTGTTAGTAACAGTAGGAAATTCCTTATTCTTGGCTTAGTAGGATTAATACAATCATAAATATTTTCTCTTGTTATCAAGAACTACTGAAAATACAAACAAAGGCTGTGTGCTCCCACAGCTTGTATTTTCCTTTACCATTTATACAGATTCATAGCTGTTGCACTACAATGATGTGCATAACAGGCTGCAAGGCCAACAGTGAAACATGAGAGGGAAATTCATGATCACACTGCTTTTGTTGGGGCAGTGTGCACCAACGCAATGAACAGGAGTAGGCCTATAAATACTCTGTGAGAGAAAGAGTAATTTAAGTTTAAAGGCAGTGATGTTTAAAAAAGTGAAGCTAATCATATCAGAAGCTATACCAAAACTAAGTATCAGTGTATGAAGGAACATAGTTATTCTGGCAGAATAATGCTGCACTTGTGCATTTTGAAGAGTATCTTCTTTCAGATCTCTGTAAGCTGGAGTGGGCAAGTCTGAAGGAGTCTGTTTTAAAAGCTCTTCACATGATGTCGTGTATAGCAGAGATTCAGCAATATCTACTAAGACACCTTAACTGCAATATATTCAAACTGTGTCAAATAGGTCATCCAGTTCATAGAAAACAGAGTATGATGTTTAAATCTACTTCTGAGTGAGTGCTGGGTAGAAAACTGGCAAACACAAAGTACAACAAAAGTACACCATAGGAGGCTTTTAGTAGACATGAAGTAAAGTATGGTCACAAAAATAACTGTCACAAACTGATCCCTTAGAATCTTTTTGAGAGCATCAAAGAAATAAATAAAAAAAACCCCAAAACATATACGATTTTTTGAAATTTAAGAAGAACAGCCACAAGACTGGCAAATAGGCCTTCTAGTCCAGTACCAAACCCCTGAGAAACACTCGTAATTAAGAGACTAATGCAAAAATGTCAAAGCAGATGACAACAAAGCTCTGAAAAAAATTTCCCAGATGGGACATTTCTTCTTAAGTTACATTAAATCAACAGTTTGAAACATTAAAGTAAGTTTTTTTTAAACAAAGTATTATCATCACTAGGTGTCTTTAGATCTTGGGTAAATACACACACCTTCCTAAGCAGGAGCCTTCCTCACAGTTCTGTATGTTGGCATTCACCAGCACTGGCTCCAGTTTCTCAAACGTGATTTCATCCAGTTTCAAGTAATTCCTAATTGCTGAACTTCAATCACACCATGCTGCCCACTCATCCTATCTCACTGAGACCTCAGACACCTTTATCAGCTACAGCTCACCTGGGGGATTCCAGGCACACTGGGACTTTGCCACTTCCTTTTTGTCAAGGTTACAGGAAGGGAAAACCAAAATATATGTTTGCCATGCCTATCAGAGGCATTTTCCTTGCAGAAAACAATCATTTCTGTAAATGTGCATCACTGACTGCAGTTTTCAGACACACTTCTGGAAGAATTTTAAATGCCTATGCTATGTATTTCTTTAATAATAGAAAGATTGCACCAAAGACTTCATAAAATCCATTGTCATCTTTTTTTCTTACTCATTTTTTGAGGATCAGCCATAAATAATTTCATTTTACAGAATCCAGACAAGACTGTCCACTCTGTATGTCTATTTAAACTACAAATGAAATAAAATTTAGACTGTTACCTGCAATTTTTAGCCACTGCGTCTAGACCTTTTCATAAACACTAACCTTCATGAACAACACATTTATTCTATTCAACAAAACCAGGTGCAGCTTTCAGCATCTCACTTACAGGAACTTGTAAAAAAGAACAGATTTGAGAAAAGGTTGTGTAACAAACCTTATTCTGACTCAAAGGGCCACACTCAGTGTCTGTAACTACAAAACTCTAGTCAAAACCAAGGCAAAGTCAGTTTTGATCGTTTCTACCACACTTGCCTTTCCTCACCGTCAGGCAATAAAGCTCATGGTATTATGCTTAGAAAAACAAAGTACCTAGATTATTTCTTCTCAAATAAGTAGAGTTAATAGCACAATCAGCAAAAGCAAAGAACTTTATTCTCCTTTATCAAGAGAAATGATTTTAGATTTCATGTAATGGTACACTAAACTATGGTAATAGATACCTTCAAGGCAAAACTAATGAGATTTGCAAGCAGGAGCATTGCTGCTAGCATCACCTGGCCTGAAAAAACTCAGGACTCAGGCTGGAGAGCCAAGTGCTTAGAATGAAGCTACTGGAGAATAATGCACTTTTCAGATCAGGTCAAAGCACTAAATGCTGTGTGATAAGCACCTTACAAATGCCTGTCAGGATTTAAAAGAACACAACTCCCATCACAATTTGCTTACAGCAAGACCCAGAGTGACATGATTTGGGACATCAGAAGTAAAACAAAACAAAAACACCCAGAAGACAACCTTATGGAAACACAAAAAGACGTACAACTTCAATTAAGGTGACATCTTTTCAAGTATTTCTGTACAAAATATCCATTGCAAAATATCTCTAACCTAATGGTACTTCCACATCGGTTCCTGCACTGCAGCTGGAACACCAGTGGCTTCCTTTACAAACATAGTAAAAAACATACCACAATAAAAATACAAAAGAAACTTAATACAGACTATTCAAAGTAAGGATTCTCATATGCAAGAATCCAGAACTTAACGTTCACATGATGAACACATAGAAGTTTCTGAATCTTAAAAATCTGTGGCAGTAGAAGCATTCTGACCTCATGAAGAAATTTATGGACTGGAATGCAGGTTAGTTTTTTCTAGGGCTTGCAAATGGGCAAACCAGTATTTTTAATACCAACTAAGAAGCTGAAAGAAATTGCATAATTTTGGGTTCAGTGTGTTTCAGCTATTGCTGAGATGCAGCAAGGAACTGCTTCTATCAAACACACATTTACGTTTGGTTATATGTGCCCACTCACCTCACACTCAGCCCAAAGAAATGATCGAGCTGAACTCCCAATTTGTAAGTACAGTTTTATTAAACTTCATAAGCAATTGTGAAACAGACTGAATTTCTTGAGAAACAAGAAGCAAATCACTAGTGCTTTAGAGTGATTAACCTGATGCTCATTTTGACTTCAGAAAAATGTGACTTTAGAAAAATCAGAGTCCCTTCTATGTATCTCTATACTTGCACACCCAGCAATTAAAGCAAATCAAATTTTCATTTCTCTTTATGTTTAAGTTCCAAACCCCTCAATCTTACTGCCAGTCAAGGAAGCAGAGCTGTGCACAGTAAAACTCACACATTCAATTTCCAAAACAGATGAGATAAAAATACAACTGAAAGATCTACCTGTGTAACTTTTTGCAAGAGCAATTTTTTCATCCATCTCTGATGTTTCGGCAGGGCCTGCTTGGGAACAAAGAGAACAGCTCTGAAAGGGTGTCTCACAACAAGCACATACTTCCATAGAGGAATTTGCCAAGTATCTCTTAATTTCATATATTATATGCTCACTACATACTTTCTGTAATGTTGAACTTTGGAAAGACTGCGTGAAATATTAAGTTTCTAGAAATCCTTATGTCCGTGGTTCAGCGGAATAAAAATGTCAAGGGGTTACTGTCAGGGGTCTGCATGTTTTGTCCTAGTCATGCAGAGCAGCAGGCTTCCAAATTTCTTTCAGGTGTTAATAAACTAATTTTAAAATATGAAATGTGGATGGTTCTGCTATTTTTCAATTAATTCTGAATCAGCTAAATCTTTTTCCTGTTTGTTAAAATTTATATTCCTCAGGAGTACTCTTTGACTTTAAAATTTCTACCTACATTAAGTAGATAAATCCAGAGGGATTAAAATCATTTATGGCACTCCAAGGCTGTTTGCTTTTCATCACAACAGATCTTCTGAAGACTATGGACAGACTGCTTTAAAAAGGTTGCTGCAGAAAGCAGCACACAAATTACACTTAACAGATCAGATTAACACTCCTAAAATCCTCCTGCAGTCATACAGGAAGGGCACCACACTGAGCAAGAGGCCATTCTACACCACTGAAACTCACAGGCATAGAAAACTTGCCAATATGGGGCAAACAGGACTAACTGCAACTGACGACTTCGACCAGTTGTTCTATGCAAATCAAATCAATTCTGTGTTCATTTACAAAAGAAATCATACACCTGCCCAGAAATTCTGATTGTTCACAGGTAGGTGCCTAAGCATATCAGCAAAGAATATGAACAGCTTCACAACAGAAAAGCTACTGTTAATTAATAAGGCAATGAAACACCTTAAACTCTATTTTATCTGCACAGGAAGCAAGAAAATACAGAAAAGCCTGTTGTCACAATCAGACTTTGCAAGTACTGCAGTCAACTGAAACTACATATACAGTTTCAAACAAACGAATATTTAAGCATTAAAGAAAATAATCATAATTAGGAGGTCACAATAATGCTAGTTGGAATAGTTCTGTCTAATTTGATTGTTCAGATTTTCAAAGGGATTTAAAATGAACAGTATTTCAAGTGAGGAACCTATACAAAGCACTCCGCTTTATATGCATTTTTTTCAGCAAGGGCTGCTTTAATCTGCTCCTGCCACTTCTCCTTTGCTGGGCAGGTGTTTGATTTCTTCTTTTCCTTTCCATTTACCTTAAAGGAGTTCCCTGATTTGGTTCAAAACACAGCTCCACAAGCAGTGGTGCTGGCACAGCTGAGACCATAGTCCAAAGCTGGGAAAGCAGTGGGAAGAAAAGGAGCAAGGCAGAGCCAGAGACACTAGTGGTGCTCCAGGCCACACCACAAGGAATTCTCATCACGATAGTGTGATATGCAACTGTCAGGGGTGAGTGGGAACAGAACAGAGTCCCCCAGGGTGTGCTGAAAATAGCTCCATGGACTAAATTTGCTTTTATCAAAATTAGCATATTCAGTGTCTGCAGCCAATTGGGACTGTCATTTCCTAAGAACTCCTGTAAACATGCAGTTATGATAACTCACACCACACTGGCACACAGGAGCAAGCATCACATTACAGCCAAATACACTATTAGAAGCAGATACCTATTCCTTGATTCAGAAATCCTGACAGGATTGTTTTACCTACATATTCTGCAGTAGCCTCTATATTGCATTATCTTCATGCCAAATACATGCTGTGACACAAATAAAAAAGAAAATAGGAGTCTTTGACACATTCAAACTTGAAGAAAGATCTCTCCAGTTGCAACGATACACTTAGCAGACTTACAGCCTTTGGGATAAAGCACAGAGAATTCAGTCCCTTCATCTTCAATGCTGACAAAAACTACAGTACGTGTAGTAAAGCCATTAGATTTTTTTAAAAGTGACCCACACAGATTATTTTATGAAACTTGAAGCTTTTTCTTTTCATATTATGAAACTTGGACAGAGGAAAAAGCAGTATGAAAAAATTCTTTCAGAAATTTCAAAGTGTAAAACAACTATATTCTGCTATCCTAATTTAGTAAAGATTAGAAATTTACATTCAAAAGAATTCTGAAAGTTCTACCACCAGATGATGTTAAAGAAAGCAGATACATTTCCACTGTACTGCATTCATGCACTCAGCAGGCAGATATAATGACATAATTAAGAGAAGTGAAAACCAAGTACAGGGGTGATCAGATCAAAAGAAGTTCCATCCAGGAAAAAAGGTATGAGGAAAAAAAAATGCCACAAAAAAAGAAATAAGAAAACTCAAGAGAGAACAACTTCATTCTACTGCAGCAGGTAGGATACAGGAGGAAGGATGGACACAGAAGTGGGAGATTTAATTACTAAAACCACAGGAGACCTTAAAAGTAAAGTATTGCAGTATGGTTATGTCTTGAAGGCTGAACTTGAGATTTATGGGGCAGAGGCTAAACAATAAAGCAACGGGGAGACACCTTAAAACATACACAGGGCCTGAGCCATGGACCTCAATAAAAGTTACGCTTTATCCACATGAATAAACTTTTCAATACAGTTCTGACACAGTGATTGATATCAATCACAGAATGGCTGATTCTATGACTTACAGTGTATAAAAGTTACCAAAACTTTAAACTAAAAGATTGAAGCAGTACTCTAGATAGTATTGTTATTAAGGTTTATTCCGTGTTTAAGGAGGTCACTGGAGTCAGTGTCTGCACACTGTACCCTCAGAAATAAAACCCATCAAGCAGTTCAAAGACTCCTGGAACTTCACCTTCAGATCAAACACCCACATATGGGTGTGGATGAAGCTGTTCTTTAGCTCTTCTGGTGTTCCTCAGAATAACTTCAATGATAGGCAGCATGGAAATGCTGAATCCTGACAGAGCTAAGTAACTGCATGTTTAATGACCAAAAATAAGAAAAAAAAGAGGCACAGAGAGAGCAACACTTACACAACCAGCCCTTTCATGAGATACACACATATGAAAATTAGTGCAATTACCTGGAATATTATATTGATAGTAGTCAGGATCATCTGATTCTTCCTTCACTGTTACCGTTGCCATTTCCAAAGAAATTCCTGTAGAAGCAACAAAGGAATCAAATATGGAAACTAAAAATAAGCACATTCTTAAAAAAATCCCAAACTAAAGCACCCAGATCCTTGCTGGTCTCTATTAAAAAAAAAACCAAAGGAAAGAAAAAAAGACACTAAAGATCTGTTGAGCTAAAACCATGGTAACAAAGTGACCTGCTGGTTTCTTCTCTTTCAGTTTGGTCACTCCCAGAAGGGATTCAGAATTAAATGTTTC